GGGGGTGATGTTGTCATAGCTTGTCCCCAGCCCGGGCACCCCCTCTGCAGCCTGGGCACCCCAACTGTGACCGGGGCACGCCAAAAGACCCTGCTCTGGTTGGCACCCAGCTGGGAGCAGGCCCTGTTGGGGACACTGGGTCCCATGAGGACTTTACAGGCTGTGGTGGCTGTGGGGTGTAAAGCCTTGGTGGACCCTCACCCCCCAGGGCTTTGTTTCCTGGTTGTGGGGGGCTCTGTGGGGTGTCTGTGCCTCCCTTCACCCTCCCTGTCCCTGTGCCAGGCTCACTTGGGGTGGTTGCGGGCATAGAAGGGGGCCTGCAGGATTCCGGCGGGGAAGACGATCCCGTTCTTGGTGGGCAGGTAGTAGGCGTTGACGGTCTGTGGGGTCATGCTCCACCTGGGGACAGGGAGAGGGGACAGGGGTCAGGCAGAGATGTGTCCCCTCTCCCCCAGCACCCTCCTGTGTCATCTCCCACCGCAAGCCCCCTGTGCTGCCCTGCCCGGGGCTGGCACCGCTGCCCCGTGACCAAGGGACCTGGTCCCAAAGCCAAGCCAGAGCTACCACAGGTGATCAGCCCATGGTGTGACCTTCCCCCAGGTGCCACCCAGGCCATGCTGGGGACAGCACCGTGACATTGTGTCGGTGTCACATCCTCCGCCCTCCCCAGGCCCTGCCCCTTACTGGTCGCGGTTGGGGGGTTTTCGGAGCTGGTCGGCCATCACTTTGGCAGAGAAGTTGTAGAAGTTGAGCATGTTCTGGAAAAAGGAGTCCTCCGAGACCTCGTACTGGGGAGGAAGAGGGGGGGTGAGGAGGGGTTCCACCAGGGGCTGTTCCTCCCTATCCTATCTGGGATGCTCTCAGTACTGGGGTGGCTCTGTGTAACTCCCCACCCCAAATGGGTCCCCTAACTAGGGACATCATCCCACCACGTAGCTGGACCCCCTCGCTGTGAACAACCCCTACCCCATCATAGACATCATCCAGCTCCTTGTTGTCCAGGATGAAGTCGGGGAAGCCGATCATGTCGTAGATGGCATCCGCCTGTGCTGGGAAAGGCCCCGATGGTAAGAGGGGGTGGGGAGGGGGCTTCCCAGCATGGGAATGGGGGTGTCTCCCCCCGCTGCCCTCCCCGGGGTCACCTTCTCCTTTGCAGCCTGCCTGGTCTTCTGGTCCATCCAGTCCAGCTGGTCCAGAGACACCTCGAAGGCCGCCCGGATCTCGCTGATCATCTCCTCGGCCTGGGGAAGGGAGGGGATGAAGCCCCCTGTCCCCTTCCCTGCCCCTTTCTGCCCCCCGCAGCATCTCAGGCAGAGACAGGGGGCAGGACACAACCTCTCAGGGGCTGGGGGTCACTGCTCCCCACCTCCCAGCCCTGGGGTTTGGGGAGGGGAAAGGGGGGGTTTCCATGGGCAGTGATGGGGAGGTGATGGGAGCAGAAGGATCCTCACGATGGCTTTGCTGTCCCGGTCGAAGGTGGCTTTGACAAAGAGGGAGCCCAGGGCGAAGCCCAGAGTGTCGTCCGTGTTGGAGATGCAGGTTTGCCAGCGGGGCGTACAGGACTGTGGGAGCGAGATGGGGGGCTGTGAGACCCCCCAGCCC